TATTTTAATTATCTTTTAATTAAAAATATTTGTTTTAGTCTTTAAATTAAAAAAAAAAAATTTCATTCGAATGTGATAGTCATATCCAAAGTTGCTTTCTGACTAAGTTTAGTACTCGCTCGGAGCTTGTTTCTTTTTCCTCAGCAATAAAGTGCAATGTAACAGCGTCCAACTACTTTTCGCTATGCAAAGAACTAATTAGCATGTAAATTTAAATCCGATCAGCTTTTGTAAAAGCTAAGTATGCATGCAATTTGGGCGGTGGCGCAGCAACCAAAGGGGGTTATAAAAAATGCCAAAATAACAAAATTAATGCTCATTATCCTTTAACGTATTAGCCTTGCAGTGCACGCCCCGTGGCACATATTGTAATTGCAAGCATTAAACGGGCTGCCACAAACATACATGCAAACACAGTGCGAGCGCATGGCAAAGCAGCCACAAGGATAACGAAATGCGCACCCACCCACAAATGCATAAACTTATGCATATGTATACATATGTATGTGTGTAGGTATGCGTGCATGTTTGCCAATGTGCGTGCACTCAAGCCAAAGCGAATAATTGCCACAACCAAAGCTGCAGTCAGGGCGTTGCACACAAAGGACGCGTCGAAATGCGGTCGTAAGCGTTGCTGAGTGCGCTGGCACCGCCACCGCTACCGCCCTTTTGCTGTCATTTTTTCCATGCCGCACATTTTTGCCAGTATCTGTTGGAATTTATACAAACTGCCACCGGAAGCACTTCAGCAACGCCTTTGTAAGCGCACATGGCATGGCATAGCGTTGCATGGTGTGGCACAGCACCCACATGCACACATTCAAACACTTATGCGAGTTTGTGTTTTTTTCTTTCTTAATGTACATAATACGCATAAACGTGTGTGGGCGTAGCTGACATGCTCGCCGCTTTTGTGTGTCAGCTCATCGCTTAAGTGCATTCATTTCATTTATTTGCGCATTTTTCTTCGCTTTGTGTTGCTATGCATTTGATCCCCATGCAATTTCCGCCCCACAAATGCATGTGTTGTTGTGGCTGCGGCCCAAACACATGTGTGGGTGCGTGCATATGTATGTGTTTGAATATCTAATTTCGTTTGACACGCATCAGCACCATAGTTGGTGTGGCTGTCGTTGCCGCTGGCGGTCGCGTTGTGAAGGTCAGCATTGTGGAATTTAAATTGCGAAATTATATTAAAAAAAAGAAAAAACACGAAAATTGAAAAATAAAAATGTTGAAAACCATTTGTTAAGCTAACAAAGCTTTACAATCACAGCGTTTACTCCGTTGGAAAATTGCATTCCTTGTGACCTCTGCGTTCATGTTATTAGCTCAATTTTCCAGCGCATTACACTAGCGCAACGACGCGTAACTCTAAAAATCATGTACTATCCAGTGGTTGGGCGGTGAAATATTTTTTTAAACAATCTCGAATATTTTTCTAACAAAAAATTTAAATAATTGCTTTCGAATGTTTCGTATGCTTTCGAATTCGCTATTACCTAGAATATTGCTTCGAAAACTTTACACTAAATCTCAAAGTTTTCTGAAACTTTGGTGGTGGGGGAGCTTAAGAAAGACCGGAAAGTCACAGGGATGTACGGTATTCTCTTTATTCGAAATAAGAGTTTACTTTCTTTAGCCTCAGTGCTCTTATTTCTATCGAAAGTGAACGCTTACTTCCTTGAGGGTCTTCTAATTGTCCTGAAAGCCGCATTGAATTCCGTTTCGGGGATGTACGGTATTCTTATCTCCTTCGAAAATCCTTCCTTCTTCTTTCCTTTAGCCTCAGTGCACTTATCTCTGTCGAAATTGTCCTGAACGCTGCATGGTATTCCGTTTCGGGGAAGTCCTTATTTTTTAACAGAGTTTCCTCTTCAGTGACATGCGATCCACAACCGGAATTTTCAACATCTACACGAACGGATCAAAGTAGCTGATAGAGTGAGCGCCAAGATCTATTGCGTAGAGCTGGATTTCAAGTGTTTCTTTAAGGTACAGGAATATGACAGTATCTTCCAGGCGGAAGTCTTTGCGGTCAGGAAAGATAGCTAATTATGCGAGTACATAAAGGTTATCAGTATATATGACGAAGCTGCAGTGGTAACTAAAGTAATAATCTCACGTTGGATTGCGTCCGAGAATATCCTTGGATATCCGAAAAGCGGCTGCATATACGATTACAGTGGGTTTCAGTGCTCAAGAGTGTTTCGGGAAACGAAATTGCTGATAATATAGCAAAAAATGCCATCCGTTGGCTACTGAATCAATCTAGCAAACGTCCACATCGCTTAAAACATTTCACAATGAAACTTCAGAAATGGTAGATACAGGGATCAGCGTAAAATGGAATGCTTTACGGGTTGGGATCGCAAGATCATGTGAACAGACGAAACGCATGCTTTTTACTCACACGGTCTCGAAAAGATTGCATTATGGTTGACTAGTCATAGGTTATAATTTAATGCCAACACATTCGAGTCATACGTACACTATTAACGATGACACATGTAGACGTTGCAGGGAAGTAGGCATGAGAGAGATGCTGGAACACCTCCGCTGCTGCTGTCCGGTCTAATCTGAGTTTGGTTTAGAAGTCAAAGTGCTTTGTAGTTCAAGGGATTGAATGAAGTATTCGATTTAGATATAAGTCTCTATTAAACTTCGCTTCGTTGACGTCTTGAACAACATAAACTTCAGCTCATATTAAACTGAACCTCCTTGTAGCATTACAGAGGACATATAGATAGAGCCGGGAGGTAGGCATGAGAGAACCGCCGAAAACACCTTCTTCTGGCGGACCTAATCCTGGTTCTGGTTTAGACATCTAAGTCCTTTGCAGTTCGA